ATGTGCGAGTGTCCGACCAATCACAGTGTGGGTTGTATCAAAGAACGAATAAAATTGCCTGTTAGAAAATAAGATGGTGTCTACATTAATCTGGAGACATGTCAGATTACTGTAGTTTGTTCAGTCAAACATTTTATGGCTTACTATTTAGTAATCTCACCATTACCGATGTAACATCGTATGTACATCATAAATTCCCAGTTTCTTTCTTGCTGTACATCGCAACCAAAAACACTTGTCAAATAAATCATATAATTACTGTAAACAGTTCTATGAATGCTCCTATCTCCGAGACTTTTAGTTCACAAAAAAAAAATAACTCTTGCACGCCTTGCGTGCCTATGGTTAAGAGTAAGTGTTCGTAAGGACAGAGCTCGGAGTAGGCCAAAAGGAAATTATAATCTAGTACAGTAGCATCTTTGTATAGTCTGGGTGGTTATTGTCGACCTTTTGACATCGATAACAATCGATATTCCTGAAGACAGGAACTATCGATTGCTATCGATTTTTGCCAATCGATTTTTATCGGAGAGCCGCCGAGAACCGCGGGACGTTTGATATGGGCTTACATGTACCGAGCTCGACATGGGGTAAAAATGGGGTTTTCTATGTTTTGTCTGGGAGTAGAGGCGTGCAAAATCTTGAAAAATAAACCCCGCAGTCTCTTAATTTTGTCGAGGACATTATGTGCTTTGACAGGGCAAATTCCAAGGCGGTCATTTCTCTACATCCCTGGGAACGACGAACGAAAAGTGTCAAAAGCCACTGGTTTGAATTCTGATTGTGTCGTGTTGGATTGTGAAGATGGAGTGGCAACTAACAGGAAGGTACGTAACGATTTAATACCAGTTAATTTATGCCTGTAGAAGTACTCGGCTCTGCAACGAAAGGAATGAATGGAGAAAACCCGCGTTCATCACTATCTTTTGGTGTTGCTTTGCATAATTTGGGTATTTAGCTTATAACTGATCATAACTGCCTGTTGTGTCATTGTGTAATTAATGCCAAGTAGTTCCAAGCTATGTTATTTTCATCTATTCTAAGGACCTGTTTACAAGGAGGGAGGGTTACCCAAGCAAGTGGGTTAACCCTAGCTGGACGGCAAAAGATAGCCCGGGTTTACAAGCAAAATTTCACAGGTAGGGTAACCCTACAACCCGGGACAACTTAATGTGTAGTTACACTCAAAGGGTCTGGAAGCAATAGAAAGTTAACCTGGGTAGGCGGGTTAACCCTACCTGGAGTGTTAACAAGGGAAAACGTTAACCCGCCTGCCAGGGTAACCCTAGCTACCTTGTGAACACGAGGAAGAAAAAAAGAGGAAATGTTTGAGTGCTAGGGTAACCCGCTTGCTAGGGTAACCCTCCCTCCTTGTAAACACGACGAAGAAAAAAAGAGGAAATGTTTGAGTGCTAGGGTAACCCACTTGCTAGGGTAACCCTCCCTCCTTGTAAACACGACGAAGAAAAAAAGAGGAAATGTTTGAGTGCTAGGGTAACCCGCTTGCTAGGGTAACCCTCCCTCCTTGTAAAGAGGCCCTAAGTGTGAACAAAAAACTCAATGAAGTGAATGTGTTTGACTTCAAGTGCAAAAGTTCCTGTAACCTGTCTACCAATTTCAAATGAGTGATGATGAATCAAAATGTTTGGTTCCCGTTTAGATCGTGTGTTTTGTATTCATTCTTAGATGCAAATGACAGACAAAGTGTACTGGATCATTGTAGTTATAATTTATGAAGAAGAGTTTTACAGCCTCGGCCAAACGATTGCAACATTTAAACAGAACATATTGTGTCAATGTGTTGTGATATATTGGTTAATGCTGGCTCAAGTTTGAAAATGGTCAAATTTTTCATGCAACATTTGTGGATGTTGCATGATGTTGTACTCATTTGCCAGGTTCATGTAACAATGTTGTGCCAGGGCATGCGCATTAGTTTGATTTGCAACATGCAACATGTTGTAACACGTCACAAGGGTGGCCAAACACACGCAACATGTTGTGGCCAACAATGTTGCGATATATTGCATTGAAATGTTGCGATCATTTAACCAGAGCTTGCAAATGCTGGACCAACTATGTTGCAATATGTTGCACTGAAATGTGGCAATTATTTGGCTGGGGCTAGCAAATGCTAGCCAACAATGTTGCAATATGTTGTGTTGAAATGTCGCAATCATTTGGCCGCGGCTTAATGAAGGAATTAAATGAATCCATGACATTTGAGGAATGTATTGATTAGTGTTGTGGTAAGCCTGTTACCTCTTTCCAAAATTTGGAAACCAAGCTGTGATTGGCTAACAGCCGGCAAATGGAGGTGGTAATGCTAACATATTCAAGAGGTAAGGGGGGAGGGGTGGTATGCTTGACAAAACTAAAGAGTACTTGTGTAGGATGTTATAGTGGCAGAGACAAAGTCAAAATCTTCCAATGTACCCCACAAAGGCACTTGCTTAATGTATGTACAGTACATGTGGACCTCAGCTACTGGCTGCTATATGTTTGCCTGTCATTTTTCTCAGGTAGAAGCAAGGAATACCATCCATAATACTCTTGGTCAGTTGAGTTTTGGTTCCAGTGAAGTATGTGTCCGTATCAACTCTATAGAGACTGGCTTGGCAGAAGATGATCTGAGAGCTATTTTAACAGCAAAGGCATTCCCTCAGTCCATTGTGTTACCCAAAGTTGAGACTATGGAGCATTTAGATTGGGTAAAGGCACATATTTCTCAAGTTAACCATTTTGTTAAGGTTACCGTGTACCTTCAGGGTGAAAAATTTTCAATAGGGGAAATCGCATCTAAATAGGGCTCTAACTGGCAAAAGTTGGACTCCCATCTTCTAGGTCCTGGATGAAAGCCTGTTTCACAGTGGTTTTACATAAAACCAGACTCCTTATTTTTCCTGTTGGCCTAACAGCATAGGCCTGGTTTCTGTTCTGCAAGCATTTTTTGTCACTTCCCATGTGACAAAGCCTCTTAATTAAGGCAAACAAGGGTACAGTAGAGCCCAGTGATAAGTTCAGCAGACAGATGATTAGCACTTTTTAAGATTTCTGGATATCAGGATGTGTTTTTTCTCTTGATGCTTTGACTTGCCTTGACATAGGGTTTCTCTACATTACAATCCATCATACATACATACATACATACATACAAACTTTATTGATGCTCCCTAAGTGGGTTTTTCAGCTCAATACAATTACAATTACAGATTTAAATTTAAATTAATTAAGAATATACGTTCAATAATATTATAATTACAATAAATATATCAAGAATATTACAATTATATAAATACCGGTATCTAAAAAAGAAAAAGAAAATCAACCTAATAAAACATTTCCAAAATGACACCTAAAATTCTTGGGGCATTTTAAGGACTTAATATTATGATTCAAAGAGCTCCAGAGTTTGGCTCCTCTGAAACCAAAAGAGCACTACCCTGTTGACAGGTGACATAAGGGTATGTCCAAGGCACCAGACGATCAAGTTTGTCTATTATGGACTTGGGAACTTAGTTTGAACATATCAGCAAGATAGTCTGGAACAAAAGCTATTTCTCTGAAGACAATATTTGTTTTCCAGGATAGATTGGTTAAAAGAAGCTGTTCCATTAGCTGAGTACAGAGGGCATCTTCGGAGAAATCGCTTTTGTTCCAGACTATCTTGCTGATATGTTCAAACTACGTTCCCAAGTAGTTCATCATGTCTTGATATCAAGAAAAAGAAATCACTCACCAAATTATAAACAAGACTCTGCGAGGCATCATAATTTCAGCTCACAAACTTTTTTAAGTGGTTTGACTACAACTGTAATAGATTTATCTTTGCATTGAAAAAAGCATGTCAATTTCACTGAATTTAGTATCATTTCTATCAAACTTTATCCTAAAATTGTTTATTCAACTTCCAGATAAGTGACAGAGTTTCTTCCCTGTTACAATCAAGAAGTGGAAGACTTGGGCTTATCACTCAAGTTGAAAGTGCTCTAAGTCTTCTTAACCTGCGTGCTGTCTGTGAACATGGCACTTCTCAAGACGGTCCCTTTAGGCTTGAAGCTTTAGTCTTTGGATCTGATGACTTCCTAGTCAGTATAGGTAATTATGGTCTTACTTACCTATGTGTATTGTTTAGCGGGGTGATGTTTAAATGAAGGGATTTAATAGCACTGAAAATAATGCAAAAATGAACAATTTGCCTGCTTGAAAATATTTAGTCATTATTGTTCAGTACTGTTGTGCCAAAAGAAGAGATTGAAAGGGAAGGGAAGCAGTTGAAATTATTGTTTTTTTTATTATTATTATTATTATTATTATTATTATTATTATTATTACTTTTTTTTTATTTAATGTTATTGCCTTACAGAACACAGAATAAATGATTACAGAACTAGATACTACTTGGGAATAACTATTTAGAGAGCTGACATTAACTATTGTACTAGACAAAACTTATTATTCTTACAATACTATACTTACAATGTTCACACTAATAGTGTTTACAGCACCTTTTAATCCACACAAATAAATCTAACACGTTACAATAAAAAGAAAAAAAAAAACAATGAAGATGGTACGAAAGGGAAGAAAACGAAACAAGTGTTTCAAGTGTATTGTTAGGTTGATTACGTATAGCATTACTAGTATGTGAGAGCGAAGATAAAGAGCAGATTGCTGCGGTTGAAATTATAGTGGACTTTCACCAGAGACACAATAATAAATTGCTACTTCAATCATTGCAAGAAGTAAGATACCAGTACATTTTTGCTTTGTTTTGATTTCTACTTGGTTGAAATATAAAATGTAAAAAATTATCCGGCCCTTTGCTTTTCTGGACATTGTTCGTCTCTGTGGTGGTGATTGTCAACCACCACATAAATTTTTCAACCAGAAAATGAGGTGTGACAAAAAAAATTGTGGTCGTCTCTCACCTTAATCCCTTATTGTCCATACCACTGTTGCATTCACATTGTCAGACCCCAAGAGAAAAGACCGTCTACTAGCAGTCTTACAGAATGCAATTTACTTTCACTAAAGAGATCTTGTGTCATTAGGAGATAAGTCTATAATAAATTCTTAACAGTGCTAGAAGAATCTTACGTGAGTTATGTTTTTAAGGAGCTACCCGTACTAAAGATGTGAAGGAGTTGATTCATGCACGCCAGAGTGTGGTTGTTCACGCCAAAGCTTACGGACTCCAAGCAATTGACATGGTGTATATAAACTTCAAAGGTATAAGCCATACACACATAAGTGATGTTGTCACACAAGAAGGGTCAGTAGTGATTCTGTATTGCTTTTGTTGTTGTCCTAATTGCACTTGTGTTTCACAGTGTTATGACTACAATCTTAGTTGCAATAGATCTTGTAATGGGACGCCATTTGTAAATTTATTATTTATTTTACTTTCGGTAGTTTTCTTCGTGATATGTTTGTTTATTTATGATAATTCATTACTGACCGTCCATTGTCACAAATAACCCGTTTTACTATAATTGGTTATTTAATAAAAGCAAGCATCCGAGATTTGGCCTTTTAAGCAAACCATTCTTATATCCATTGGTTATTTAAGCAAACCATTCTCGTATGTGTTGGTTATTTGATAAAACCATTCTTACATGTGCTGGTTATTTGATAAACCAATATTTCGTTTTTTGGTTATTTGATAAAGCCAATCTCGTGTTATTGCTGCGGAGCGAGCGGAGCAAGCGAGCAGCAACATAATTGCCTGCGGAGCGAGCCAACAGCAACATAATCAGGATTTAAGAAGAATATATAGAAGGGGGTACGAATTCTCAAATTCATCACTTTTTACCAGAATGCATTGCATTTAACCAGAGTGCACTGCGCCACTTTTTTTTTTACTAAAGTGCATTGCTCCACGAACAACACGAGGACGTCGAGCCGTCGTCCTTTTTTCGGGTGGATTCAAGTGAGAAAGATTAGTGGTTTTACCTGTAAAACGATGTGAAGGAGATCTTGCTTGACTTTCACAACTTTTGCTCTCGTTCTTAATGCAGTATGTGAAAGTTTGTGAATCTGGACGATTGATTGTGGCATCTTAATTTTAAACTTAGTATGTCATTTCTTAAAAGTCTCGCCTCCTTGGTCGAATTCTTAAATGAAGAGAAATCGTCGTTACTAAAGCTTGTAGAATAATTAAAACAAACGAAAACCGTGGAATGCGCAAATTTCACACATGCTGCGATCTATTTCTTTTCATCCAAACATGAATCTAAGCTAAAGCTTTAGCATTTTCACACATCGCGATGGACGCGTCGACACAGTGTGTCAACATTCTAGACATTTAATGCGTACCAGTACAGAATTTGTAAGTTAGATTTCTGCTCCTACAATTTCCACATCTTTCGATTTTCGCCATCTGGTAAAGGGGAGGTTCAGTGATGTGTATAGCTTTATGTCCAAACAAAGTTCAGGGGTACTTACCATTTACATGGGAAAACCGGAAATTCCAGTTGGAAAATCAAATGGTTCGCGCCATNAGCTGATGTGGATATACTTTATAGCGATTCCTTCTCCCGCAAAGTCGCACTCAACTGTTTAATGTTTATGCCTGAAATTTCCAACCGGATGGTTTTTGTAAATGGTAAGCACCCATGATCACCATGTGCTTTTTTGTCACGATCCCTTATCACACCTCGCCATCGATTCGTCATCATGCATGAAGTTGACGCATACAAGGACAGATTCCTCATGATTTGACACTACTTTAAGAAATAAAGGATGCTGTAAGTCTTGGAACGTATTGGCAGATGAATCACTACGTAAAATATGTCACTATCAACAGAATGTGCCTAGTCAGGCTTTAAGTAGAATAGATAGAAGTCCGTTTTGTCCTGTTAAGACCTCAAGTCAATTACTTAATATGGTCCATGTTGACTTCCAACACAGTAATTCCAAAGAAATGTACGATGTATTAATTATCTTTCAAAAGTTGACAATAAGAAAAATTATTGAGCTGGCTGAAATAATTTGTTTCAGACCCCGAGGGTTTACAAGCACAAGCTGAGGAGGGTGCAAGGTTTGGTTATACTGGTATGCCTTTATAATTTAAACTGCCTTTTTGAAATAAGAGAGGGAAGCCTTTTCAGGGCATCGTAATGTTAAAACAGGTCAGTGATTAAGGTGGCCGAACACAGTTTTCGCGCGCGCTCTTGCTAATGCGATTCAGCGCACGCACAAGGATTGCAAAAAACAAACATGCCGTTGATACAGCGATCATTTTATTTGCTCAATGCCCGCATTATCTGTGCTATATTTCTTCGTTGCTGAACGCAGTGTGTTGAGAGTTTTAGTCTTTTATTACAAAGGTATGTTAGAAAAGGTAACTATGCAAAGAACCCAACGATTCTCAGATTTTTCTTTGTTATCGAAGGGACCCAGTTAAATGCAGTGCATGCGTAGTAAGTCAAAAAATTGCGATTGAATGCGGAATAGCTTTCTCAGAAATACGCCTATTTCGCGAGAACCACTCATTAGAATTTCACGAAATTTTCACGACAATATTAAAGAAATAAGGAACTGGAGCATAGAAAAAAGTTGAACTTCAACAAACGAAATTTTAGATATTCCAGTGAACCTTCAACAAGGGCTAATTTAAGATCTCTCTGTTACATTATTATCAAAATAGTGTGAACTTGTGAGCATCGTTACAAGCTTGTTGCATGCAAATTATAAAGAAAATCTAATGACTAGATTTTGCTGCAAATAAACAAAACCGATTTTAAAGACCCGTTTATATTTATTCATCTTGCCATGGCAACGGCACCTACGTCAGCTTAACCATCAAAAAACCAAAGTTTGTGTTGTTAACTTGCTTGCTGCCACTTTTGGCGACCAAAAGATCAAGGGTTTTAGAGAAAAAGGTGAATGAAATGGAGGTATCAAAATGTGTTCAGCCACCTTAACTCGGTTTTCTTTAAATGAAGTGGCTAGGAGTGTTGCCATCTCCCTTGGATGAAATGCGGTTAATCCATCCCAGGCTACTCCCCATAACGGCCGGAAGTAATAGAAAATATGAAAAAGACCACAGGAGTACCAAAGAAACTAATTGACGCTATTATCCGAATTTCTTTTAAGAGGATTTACAAATTCCAACGAGTATCGTCACAAACTGTACTTGTGTTTATTGTGTTTATAAAGTGCAATTGGTTACTCCTTCATAGGTAAACAGATAATACACCCAGGACAAATAGACATCGTAAACAGAGCATTCTCACCGAGTGAAGAGAAGATCAAATGGGCAAGAGATCTTGTAAAAGCTTTTGAAGAGCAAGAAAGAGTTGGAAAGGTCAGTTGAAGTAATGTCCAGGGTTACCTTGGAGCATTTTACTTTGAACTCATGTTAATATAAAATTAAACATTTCAAAGAAGGCTTAAGGCGAACACAAGCAGTGGAATCAGTTATTTCTTAGCATAGCGGTTTTGAGTAGTCTTGCCACATTTAGATACCCGTAAAAAGTTCCGAAAGTATCGTTTGTTGGCAAATCTGAATGTAACTACCTCGGAAAATGGCGACCTCAAGCAACTTGAACAGTTATTAGAAACACTGGAAATGACAGATAAGACACGCTGCACCAAAGTTTTAGAAGACACTTCTTCTAAAAGCTCCGAAAACAGTGACAAATCATGAATAAACGCCATAAGTAACGAGATTGGTCACTTTAGAACAACTATTTTAAAAGAGGTCATCATTTGGGTGAAAGTTCTCGATACACCTTTTCAAAATATAACAGAGATTTTGGATAACCAGTCCTCTGATGTAACTATTTGCGTTCAAAGAACGCAAGCCTAATTTTGACCTCTGGCTTTTTAGAGTTGGCTTTCCTGTGGACGGTTGTATGCAGAAAAAAATCCACATGCCTGTAAGGACACCAAAATGGCCACCCCGCTTGAATTTTGCAGGGGCATGTCACGGCCAGTAAACTGGTACCGTTACTAAGACATGTGATGCGAGTGAGCATGTGCGCAGGCCATATGAACATGCCTCGCTATTTTGTGCTCTCAGCGTTGGATTTTGGTGACCTTAAACGCTTCGACGGTAGCATTTACTGAAATCTGAGGGAATTGTCTTTGTTTATTTTATATGTTCACGAACACTACTTTGAATCGCCTTAGCTTTGGGATGTTAACCGTGGGAACAGCTCTATTTCACTGGCTGTATTTTGATTGCATTTGTTGATTTTATCCGGTCGAGTATTGTTTGGAATCGGTGGAAAGTACTCTGAAGGCAAGATCATAAGAACGAGCCTGTACCAAGGAACGGCAATGTAAATACTGTCTACTTTATTCATCGGGGGAAATACTCGAATCAGAGCGTTTGTTTATGATAAACGAGCACGTGATTTCAAACGTTTGCTTATATTTGTGGTTCCAGCTTAGCCGAAACAATGTACTTAAAAAATAATTTTACAAGTTAGCTTAATTAACAGTTAATGTGAGAATATTTACCACGAAATTTGAATGCTAGTGTAAATATTTTAGCTCTATTAAACTTGTGAGTCTGCGGAAACTGGCGCCGTCACGCAACGTATCAACAAGTCGTATACAGGGGACCTCTTCACTGGCATAGACTTTGACACTATGATATATTTGTCTGTAAAACCTCGGTTGTTGATGAAAAATGTTGATTTTAGCAATAGACAGAGGTTGAAAGTCAGTTAGTGAAATCATTTATTTATGGTAAATATATTTAAGTGACGGCGTCGAACGCACTCCCATAATCTTTGATTACTATTACTTTTATATATATTTTCTTCTAATTAATAGGGAGCCATTGATTTCCATGGTAATATGATTGACATGCCAACAGTCCAGCAAGCGAGGAATGTCCTTAGACTGGCAGAGGCGACAGTGAGGAAGTGAATTAGACCTGACAAGCTTTCTTTGCTTGAGACTAATAATGCATTCAGTTGACATCAGTGTCCAAAAATGACGATGGATTTCGTCATCACAGGCTCCCATTTTCTCTGTTTGTGATCGTGACTAGTCATTCAGGTCGTCACAAATTGAAAACAACTATGGAGCTTCGTTGGATCGGTGGCAATCGGTAGTATTAGATATACTTCATATTTGCTACTACTTTACGAGAGAACAAGCCATGAATAGAAATGTGTGATAGCTGAACAACTCACGGTGAGTGCAGTGTGCATGCACGACTGAGACCACATGCACGCAAAGGAAACGCAAAAAGAATTTGTTAAATGGCTAGAGATGGCCGTTAACATATAGGGCTAAGTCTATTACTCCCGCCAAATAGCCTTGTATGGTTATGAATTCCCCTATTTTCTCCTAAGCTTGATACTACCGCTACCGGATTAACGTTAATTAGGACTCATAAAGCAATCCAGTCACCCCACCCACCAGCCGTAGTCAGTCTATGCAGACAGATGTCTCGTGCTCCAAAATTGATATATATATATTTACTGAAACTAGTCCCGTCCGGGCTGGCTAGGTTAGTCCAGAACGCAATTTTGTGGCACTGTGTGATACTCTTCCGAGGCGAATTTGCTGGTCATTCATCAGTTGCCATCTTTGAGGGATGGCAGCTGGCGACATGCATGCCCTGTATTTCCCACTTCCAACTCTTTAGTAACTCACCGTTGCCGGAAACTTTTTTTACAGAGTTATGTATAGAATTTTAATAGTGTTTTTCTAAGTCAATAGCCTTCGAAGAACAAAGAAGCAAGTGTGGAATATTTCTTTTAAAAAGATTAAACATGTGTTTTTGGGGGGGATGAAATTTTTATATATGTTTTCACCTTCCTCCGACATATATCCACGCCATTCCTATTTTTGGTTGGGATCATTTGCTGTCCAATATGGGGATCATTTGCGGTCCAATATGGGGATCTTCTTTCCAATATGGGGATCTTCTTCGGTCCAATATGGGGATCATTTGCGGTCCAATATGGGGATCTTCTTCGGTCCAATATGGGTTCATTTGCGGTCCAATATGGGGATCATTTGCCGTCCAATATGGGGATCATTTGCGGTCCAATATGGGGATCTTCGGTCCAATATGGGAATCATTTGCGGTCCAATATGGGGATCATTTGCGGTCCAATATGGGGATCTTTTGCGGTCCAATTTGGGAGGATGCAATTTGAGGATCATTTGCGGTCCAATATGGGGATCTTTTTCGGTCCAATATGGGGATCATTTGCGGTCCAATTTTGGGATCATTTGCGGTCCAATTTGGGGATCATTTGTGGTCCAATTTGCGGATCATTTGCGGTCCAATTTGGGGATCTTTTGCAGTCCAATATGGGGATCATTTGTGGTCCAATGTGCGGATCATTTGCGGTCCTGGGTTCATTTCCGGACCCGTAAAGTACTCGACACAATGCTCCGAGTGTTGCTCAAAATGCCTTTATAAACGGTTCATTTAATAATGCATATATATTGGAATTGAACATGCAAGCCAAATGGCCACTAAGCCATAGGGTGAAGAATCATTTGGGTGAAAACCGAGCGTGTTCAGGCATACTGGACATTTTTTTCAATGCAACACACAACAACTAGTTACAATACAATATTTTACAGTTCGTACGTCTTACATCGATTACATTGTTTACGGCTACTTATAAAAAGAAAATTAACTCATTACAGTTAATATTAAGAAAGAGGCAAACAAAACAAAACAAACAAACGAAATTAATTAAAGGGGACAAACTGAACTAAAACAAAACTACACCGAAGAAAATTAGTATAGCTTTTGGTTGCTGCGGCATGGCTGGTGTATTTACTACATTCATGTAAATACTTCCTCTAATATTAACCTATTACACCCACTAATATTAACCTTTTTCAAAGGTTAATATTTTGACAGAAATAAACATATATAGTCTGGATTAGGACAGAAAAAAATGTTTTATCATCGGGTAATCGAAATTTGAAGAGTTCTTTTTTGGTTACTAGAATTCAATGTAACAGCTTGAATGAGAACTGCCTTAGTTTGTTATCTCTTGTTGAATGATATATAAATGAAAATTTGTCTTTCCATTCTGTAAAGTCGTCGGCAAAGTTGATTTTCCAGGTTTTGATGCCGGTTGGCCCTTGTTAAGAATTTTATAATAATGTTTACAGCGCATGTTTGCTAGATCTACGGGTGTACTTTCAGGAAGCAAGGATACTGTAGTTGAATTTAGTAGCTGCTCATGTGAAGGTACTTCAGCTGATCTGGCTTTCTTTTTCAAATCGGAAGGGATGGCAGCCATGAGTTGAAAGTAATGAAGATAATTGTTTTAATACTAAACTTGTTTTGAAATTCTTCGAAAGTTAAGAAATTCCCATCAGTATTTAGGATGTCTTCAGCGAAAGAGACTTTCTTATGAAACCAAGATTTCCAAAATAGCATCTTTTTCTCGATGGTTATCGCTTCAGTATTCCAGAGCAGGAAGTTCCCGTAGGAGAATATTTTAGTCTCGTTCTTGAACTCTTGAAAATACTGTAAAAGCTCCCGATAGAAGGTAGGTAAATTATTGTTTTTACAGGCAACGTTAAGGCCTGTCCAAACGGGAAATGTTTGGCGACCAAACACCCGATCAAACATTGTTTGGTGACCAAACATTTTAACGTTTGGCCACCTTTTTTGATGCTGTTTGATCGTGTTTGGTAGTGTTTGATAAAATTTGAAGGCCATCAGACATTCGATCTAACAACTTAAAACATTTCTTTTGTTTTCGTGTTTGATGGGCGATGTTTTGTTCGTTTGGACAGCCGTATGTTTGGCGCGCGCATACGTCCCACGCTTGCTCAGCGGCTTGTATCCATAGTTTATCTGGGTTTGATCAAACATGTTTTAACCGTTTGGCCACTCACTTCAACATCAACATGTTTGGTCGCCAAACATTTCCAGTTTGGACAAGCCTTTATAGTTACATTTGAGAAGGAACTGTAACCCGCCATGTGTGGAGAGAGAATGATAATTGGGGATTGTTTTCCATGAGTCTCGGGAATTTCTCAGGAACCTACTTACCCAGGCTAAGCGTAAAGATTTGACTACTGCAGGAAAGTTAACAAAGTTAAGATCCCCTTCAGCAAGGGGTTGACACATAACCAATCTCTTTATTTTGTCTGTTTTGTTTTTCTCATGAAATTAAAGAGTTCTGCTTGGACGTCTTTTATTACTGAAGTCGGGACAGATAGCGTGGACGTTGCGTAGATCACTTGAGACACTTCTAACATCTTAGGTAATAAAGAGTTACCATATAGCGTAAGATCCTTAGAAAGCCATAAATTCAACTTAGTTTTCATTTTTCTAATCCTATTCACGAAAGTTCCGTTCAACATTGTTATTTTGGTTGTACGACAGAAAGGTACCCAATACTTTAATTGGATTTTCGTACTTTTGAACTCCAGCCTTTCGTTTACTTTTATTGATTTTAAACCTGAAACCGTTCCGAATCAATCGATGACTTGGAGATGTGATTTTAGGGAATCCACGTTGCTGATTATTATGGTCGTATCATCTGCGAATTGTGAAATTTTTACTTCTTGATCATTTGGTAACTGTATGCCTCCACAGCTTGGGTTTTAGCGTATCTGAAGGGCTAACAACTCCACCACAAGAATAAACAAGGAGGGGCAAAGCGGACACCCATGCCGAACTCCTCTTGATATTTCGATATAATTCCATTATATTGCTCAAAAGTCTTATATTATGGCCTATGTATCTGCCACTAATAAATTCGGTTTGGTCCGTATGAATCAATTTGGGTAAATGTTGTTCCATTCTCTTTGCTAGTACTTTTGAAAGATCCTTTGTGAAAAGAATCGTACGAATTCAGGAGGTCTTTTCCAATCAAGTCGAAGAAAGTTTGATAAAATTCTTTTGTGAATCCATTTTTTCCTGGAGATTTTTTGTCTGCAAAAGATGCTAGAGCATGTTTTAGTTCTTTCAAGGTCAAATCCTTTCTAGGAATTCCTGTTCCTCCACATTTAATTGTGGATGGTTTAGACCCTCAATAAAGCCGTCAGTCCTTTGATTGTGTTCATATACGGATGTGTTGTTATTACCAGTAGTTTCAGAAGTGTACCAGTTCTGATCAGTAAAAATCTACAGTTTCTTTATTGACTTGCACGAGGTCTGAAATTATCTCGCCATTTTCTAATTCAACTTCTCCGGTTAATTTTTTTTCTTAGTTATTTTTTCAAGATTAAAGAAGTACTTAGTTGGCTTCTCTCCTAGCTCAAACCATTTCATCTTTGATCTGAACATGGCCTCTTTCTCCCCTTACCTCGAGTATTTGTTTGAGTTCTTCTTCTGCTTCATATTTTTCCAAGATCTCCTGATCAAAAGCATCGCTATTACAAATTTTGTAATCAAGTTCTTGTAATTCATTTTGAAGGGCTTCTTCTTTGGTTCTTAAACTAGATCTTTTTTGTTTTGAATATTTCATTGTTTTGGCACGTAATTCCATTTTTATTGATTCCCACAGGAGTTGTTTATCTATAACTTCGGAGTATTTATTTAGAATTTCCGGATTGTGGAATTCGATTATTCAATAGGCCATGTTCGATATATCCTACCATGGATCCGAGACTTTCGGGTCAAAATTACAATTTTTTTTAACTTTCCTTTGTCTTTCAATTCCCAAAAGAGACTTGGATACAAATAAACACCACCAAACATAGTAGTTTGTCCTGAAAACCTCAGAGCCATGACAGAATGTTGGTATATCATATTGGAACATTCAATATGAATATTCAATCCAAACATTCAATTCGAGCCATAAAAAACGCCTTTGTTTGGGCATTTATAATTTATAATTCAAGACTTAAGCCCAAAATTTTAACAGAGATGATAGCAAAACACTACTTAATCATTGGTTATTAAATGTAATAAGTTTGAGAGGACTGGGTGTGATAGCGAATGCAAAAACAGCATTCAAAACATAACACTGAGCATGGAAAATAAAAACAACTCAAAAGCTTGCAAATTCGCATACATTTTGGATGTTTTTCTT